TTAAACTCAGAGTCAGAGTTAGAGTTAGAGTCAGTGTTAGAGTTAAACTCAGAGTCATGGTTAGAGTTAAACTCAGAGTCAGAGTCAGAGTCAGAGTTAAACTCAGAGTCAGTCAGAGTTAAACTCAGAGTCAGAGTTAGAGTTAGAGTCAGTGTTAGAGTTAAACTCAGAGTCATGGTTAGAGTTAAACTCAGAGTCAGAGTCAGAGTTAAACTCAGAGTCAGAGTAAAAGTTAGAGTCAGTGTTAGAGTTAAACTCAGAGTCAGAGTTAAAGTTAGAGTCAGGGTAAGAGAGTCAGAGTCAGAGTTTAAGTCAGTCAGAGTCAGAGAGTCGGGGTCAGTCAGAGTTAAATCAGAGTCAGCTAGCATTAGAGTCAGACAGTTAGAGTCGCTAAGAGTTTGAGTCAGTCAGTCTGAAGAGTTGGTCAGAGTCAGAGTAAAGGTCAGTGAGAGTTAGAGTGAGTCAGAGTTGGAGTGGGTTAGAGTTAAATCAGAGTTAGTTAGAGTCAGAGTTAGACAGAGTCAGTAGAGCTGGTTAGAGTTAAACTCAGTCAGGGTTAGAGTTAAACTCAGAGTCAGAGTTAAACTCAGAGTCAGGGTTAAAGTTAAACTCAGAGTCAGTGTCAGTAGAGCTGGTTAGAGTTAAACTCAGAGTCAGTGTTAGAGTTAAACTCAGTCAGGGTTAGAGTTAAACTCAGAGTCAGAGTTAAAGTTAGAGTCAGTGTTAGAGTTAAACTCAGAGTCAGAGTTAAAGTTAAACTCAGAGTCAGAGTCAGAGCTGGTTAGAGTTAAACTCAGAGTCAGAGTTAAAGTTAGAGTCAGTGTTCGAGTTAAACTCAGAGTCAGAGTTAAAGTTAGAGTCAGGGTTAGAGTTAAACTCAGAGTCAGGTTAAGTTAGAGTCAGTGTTAGAGTTAAACTCAGAGTCATGGTTAGAGTTAAACTCAGAGTCAGAGTCAGAGTTAAACTCAGAGTCAGAGTTAGAGTTAGAGTCAGTGTTAGAGTTAAACTCAGAGTCATGGTTAGAGTTAAACTCAGAGTCAGAGTCAGAGTCAGAGTTAGAGTTAAACTCAGTCAGGGTTAAAGTTAAACTCAGAGTCAGAGTTAGAGTTAAACTCAGAGTCAGGGTTAGAGTTAAACTCAGAGTCAGAGTTAAACTCAGAGTCAGGGTTAAAGTTAAACTCAGAGTCAGTGTCAGTAGAGCTGGTTAGAGTTAAACTCAGAGTCAGTGTTAGAGTTAAACTCAGTCAGGGTTAGAGTTAAACTCAGAGTCTGAGTTAAAGTTAGAGTCAGGGTTAGAGTTAAACTCAGAGTCAGAGTTAAAGTTAGAGTCAGTGTTAGAGTTAAACTCAGAGTCAGAGTTAAAGTTAGAGTCAGGGTTAGAGTTAAACTCAGAGTCAGAGTTAGAGTTAGAGTCAGTGTTAGAGTTAAACTCAGAGTCAGAGTTAAAGTTAAACTCAGAGTCAGGGTTAAACTCAGAGTCAGAGTTAAACTCAGAGTCAGAGTTAAACTCAGAGTCAGGGTTAAACTCAGAGTCAGGGTTAAAGTTAAACTCAGAGTCAGGGTTAAAGTTAAACTCAGAGTCAGGGTTAAAGTTAAACTCAGTTAAAGTCAGAGTCAGGGTTAAAGTTAAACTCAGAGTCAGAGTTAAACTCAGAGTCAGGGTTAAAGTTAAACTCAGAGTCAGAGTTAAACTCAGAGTCAGAGTTAAACTCAGAGTCAGGGTTAAAGTTAAACTCAGAGTCAGAGTTAAACTCAGAGTCAGGGTTAAAGTTAAACTCAGAGTCAGGGTTAAAGTTAGACTTTAGTGTTTTTTTTTACTCCGGGGGAAAAAAAATACCATCTGAGAAGATCCTGAGAGCGCTGCTGCTGCTGCTGCTGCCTATAGGGGTCAGTATCACTGCACCAAGTGAGGGAATGTTAGCATTAGCATTAGCATGGAGAGGCCTTTACCACACACACACACACACACACACACACAGAGGAAACCGCACACTGAACTCAGAGCTCACCCGACGGCCGCTAGCTCTCACCTCATATATGTATGTAGCGATTTTTCCCATCATGCCTCTCTGCAGTGTGCGCCATTATCTGCATTTCTTCACATGGCGTGGAAAGAGCGAGGAGGGGCGAGCGAGCGAGGGGCCCGACGCTCGCTGGCTGACGCTCAAACCGGCGCCTGATTAGCAGCTACACGGATGTGACACGCCGCCGTCTCTGCCAGAGCGTGATCCCACACACACACACACACACACACACACACACACACACACACACACACACACACACACACACACGCACACACACAAACCTGGAAGAGTAGACAGGCCTGGAGCAAATTCGACCCCCCCTTCATCTGCACACTCACACAACCACACGTGCACACTGACACACACACACACACACACACACACACGCACACACAGTGTTAATGCTAATGAGCGCTCTGTGGTCATCCAGGCTGAAACGGCGAGAGGAGGCAGGAGCGTATGGACAAACAGCGGGGCCACCTCCCCCCCGACCTCCCCCATCACTCACCCCAGTGAGCACACACACACACACACACACACACGCACACACACACACACACACACACACACTCTCATTTTTTGAAGGAGGACAGACTTCGAGGGGGAAACAGCGTCTGAATCAGTCGTTGACTTTTGGAGATTTCTTTACGATCGATCAGCTGTCAATCACTTCTCTCCCTGATTGTTATTGATAAACTGAATTAAATTGATTTGATTGATTGAGAACTATTTGGTTATTATCTTATATAATTACATTATCATAGTCTCATATTGATTTTTAATTTTACTCTCATATTTTAGTTCATTTTTATATTATTTAATCGTAGTCTAATAATGTTAATCTTATTCTATTTTAGTTAAATAAAAGTCTTGAATTAATATATTATATTATTTAGTCTTAAAAAATTTTTTATAAAAAATATAAATTAATATATTATATTATTTAGTCATGTTATTTTTTTATTATTAAAGTCTAAAATATTTTATTAAAACCTTATATTATTTTACTTTATTGAAGTCTTCAATTGTTAATTTTATATTAGTCATTTATTTTCTTATACTGATATATTATTTTATCATAGTCTTCTATTGTTATGGTTTCACATGTTAGTCTTCTATTATTTTATTTTATTCTAGTGTAATATTATTTTTACTGTCTTATGTTAATGTCTAATATAATTTTTAATGTCTTATTTTATTTCTATATTTTTACTGTTTTATATTAATATATTTTATTATTTTATGTTTATTTTTTATATATTTTGATTATTTTTATATTTTATATTTTTCTTGTTTTATATTAATATTTTTAGATTTTTTTATTTATTTTTTATATATTTTGATTATTTTTATTTTTATATTTTTACTGTTTTATATTAATATTTTTTATATATTTTGATTTTTTTGTTTATTTTTTATATATTTTGATTATTTTTATTTTTATATTTTTACTGTTTTATACTAATATTTTTTATATATTTTGATTATTTTTATTTTTATTTTTATATTTTTCCTGTTTTATATTAATATTTTTAGATTTTTTTATTTATTTTTTATATATTTTGATTATTTTTATCTTCCAGTTGAACTTCTTTGTTTCTCATGTTCTGATTAAAGGACGTTGTTGTTTTAACTTTATAATTCAGTGAAATTGAACACCGGCTGATCAATCAATCAATCAATCATCATTTTTGATCAGAGAAATCACAAATCTATTTTTTGAGGGAGGGGTCAACAGTCCTGACCTCTGACCTCTGACCGCCCACTGAGCGCTGTACCTGCGTGACGGTTCAGCGGCGCTCTCCCTCTCCTCGGGCTCGTAGGTGATCAAAACGGTCCTGCAGCCAAGAGACGACAGGAAGAGGGCGGAGCTCACGTCGGCGGGGGCAACGGGAGGTTTTACTGAGAGAGAGAGCGGCGAGAGAGAGAGCGGCGAGGAGAGGAGGGGAAAAAAACGAATATCTGATGAAAAGATGAAGATGTGAAGAGGGAAAAATGTTACTACTGGAGGCGTTTTACTCAAACCAATCAGAACGCAGCTTTTCACCTTCATGGAGCAAAGGTCAGAGCACGCCACAGGCCGAGTCAGCCCAGACCGCCACGGCGAGATACTTCCCCTTTCTCTCAGAGGGGGGGGGTGTATGAGAGTGTGTGTGTGTGTGTGTGTGTGTGTGTGTGTGAGTGTGAGTGTGTGTGTGTGTGACCCTCCCTCTTCTGTTCTTCTTCTTCTTCTGTTTTTATTTCAGCGTTGAACGTTTCTACCTTTGACTGTGACTGTCACGCCATCTGACCTGTTCTCACGCCACACCTGACATTTCTCACGCTTATTCTTCCTCCTGTTTTTTTTCAGGATAATAAACTTCTTGACTCGCCGTACTTCAACGAACCCCGAATTTCCGCCGCGATTTTTGCCGTCCGCCAATTCCTCCCTGATCCGTTTTTTTCTGAACAAACGACTTCTTTCCGTCGGACGCCGGAGCATGGCGGATAAATTCAGCACAGATTAACCCGTGCTGGAAAGGAAGTCGGGCACAGACACAAAATAAAACATCCGGCTTCTTTTCAAAATAAAACATCCGGCTTCTTTTCAAAATAAAACACTCTGTGTTTCAGGAGGATCGTATTTCACACCATGCAAACGGGCGGAGACGAACAAGTGAAAGGTTTTTAGACGTCATTTCACCCCGATGACACCATGGATGAGGAGATGCTGATTCTAGAAGTCTAGAAGTAGATTTCCTCCTCTGGAAGGACACAATCTACTGCTTATATGTCTATGTGTCTGTCTTTAGAGAGACGACTCGTTATCGTGAGATTGAACGTGAATCTGCGGGTTCTTGAGAGTTCTCGTGATCACCGCCGTCTGTAATTCGCCACGAAATTCACCTCACAAATGGATCCGGTAGGAATCGGCGGATGGCGACAATCGCTGTATTTCCGTATCACCTGACTCTTTCCAAACCACCAAAATAAGACTTCCTGTTGCTCCTGCGGCGCGGCGCTCTGCTGTCCAGGTGTCGATGTCGTTAATCGCACCAGGGAGGAAATTCGCCGCCTGCTAATCAGGTCGACGGAACAAGGAGGGTCAAAGGAAGTTTTTAAAGTGTCCGTTTTCCTCCGATGACGGCGGCTGGAACGGCGAAAGGAAGTTTGTTCACGACTCATCAGTGTGTTCCCGAGGACGAAATTATCCCGCAGGAAGTGATGCGTTTCAGAGCGGCGCAGACTCAGGAGGAACGGCGTTAGTCTGTCACGGACGTCTCGGCGAGAAAATCAAAACCTCAAAGGAAAGTCAGGCCGCTGCCACACATGCAACAGGAAGTAACAATCACAGCCAATCAGGTGAGGCGGTTTGTTCTCGGGGTCGGTCTGCCCGTCACGTCTGAAAACACGAGCTCAGTAATGAGTCCTGACGTCGGAGTGATGAATGATGGGAAAACTGCAGGCAGACTCTTTTTTTCAGCCTCGCTCTTCGTGTTCACGGCGGCGGAGGAACATCTGGCCTCGCCGTCAGACCCGACCTCCGTGTGATCCGCCGACATTCGGGGTCAGAGAAAATCACCGCCCTTGCCCTAGCCCTCGCCCTCGGGCTGAATATTCAAATCTGCTCTTCCTGTTTCGGAGAGCTTTCACCTTTCACACCTGCAGAGGAACGCCGAGAAACCCGATCTCCTGCCGACATCTGATTTCACTCAGACGGCGAGGAGAGAGGCCGCCGCCGCCGCCGCCGGGACCCAGTTCAGACAGGAACTCTGAGACTTGGACCAGAACTTCCCTGGAGCTCAGACTCGGAGGAGTGAGGGGGACCGAGGGCCGAAGGACCGAAAACGTCAACGTTTGACCTCGTTTATTTACAATCACTAAAGAAGAGCAAAAAAAATTTAAACTTTAAAAACTTTAAAAACTTTAAAATCTTTTAACTCTAATAAAAAATAAACTTTAAAAAACTTTAAAATCTTTAAAAACTTTTAACTCTAATAAAAAATAAACTTTTAAAATCTTTAAAAACTTTAAAAACTTTTAACTCTAATAAAAAATAAACTTTGAAAAACTTTAAAATCTTTAAAAACTTTTAACTCTAATAAAAAATAAACTTTTAAATCTTTAAAATCTTTTAACTCTAATAAAAAATTTAAACTTTTAAAATCTTTAAAATCTTTTAACTCAAACTTCAAACGAACTTTCTTCGGTCCGTTCTTGTTTTTTTACCTCCGTCTTTATTCGGCGAACTCACTGAGGTTCTTTTTTTTAACGTTGGTTTTAATCGACCAGCGGCGGCGTCGCTCATGAGCGGTTAATCTGCAGGCTGACGGCAGAACACGCCACCCGTTGAGAAGAGGAGGTGATGCGTACTTTAATGTCAGAGTCGCCACAAGGGTCTGAAAACTCGCCAAATATGGCGACTAAGTCACTAAGTTGTCTGAGTTTCCTGACTGATCGGTGAATCGGGTTCTGATGTCATCGAGGGTGAACGCCGTATGAAGACGCCTCGGTTCAGCGGGTCCGTTTCAGTCCAGACTCTGGGTTCTTGGTTCTGGTCTGACGGTCCCGGAGTTTCTCGATGACGATGAGGAGACGCTCGTGTTGTTTATATTTGGACCCGTCTCTCTCTCGCCCTTTCAGGTGGACTCTCTCCCCCTCTCTCTCGCCCCTCTGCCCCGCCTCCCCCCCTCTCTAATTGGTTCCCTGGGAACCGCTCTAATCCCACTTCTCAATGAGATTAATCCATCCTCCATTCAAAGATCGCCGCACTCCAGGCCGTGAATGAAACGGCGGCGTTTGAATCCTCCGCTGTCATCAGTCTGGCCACGTTCCTCTCCAGCTCCGCCCCTTTTTCTTTCTCTCTTTTCATTCGTTCTCTCTCCTGAACCAACCGTCCTCCTCCTGGAGGAGAAGGAGCTCCTTTCACTCCAAAGAAGAGGAGGACAGACGGGACATGACCTCCCCCCTCTTCAGCGGCGTGTTTTTGTCAGGTAGAGATTAGCGGCGAGCTCTGAAGCGTTCAATCAGGTTCAAGTACGGCGCCGAATCAAACGCAGCTCCACCTCCACCTCCTCCAGGAGAAACGCTCTTTCTTCTGACCCCCCCTTTACTCCTCCGTCAGACTTTGAAACCAGCACCCCCCTCGACTCCCCCGACTCCCCCACCCAAACCGCCGACCTCCCCCGACTCCCATCAGTCCCAGAGAGAACAGGAAATGAACGGACTTCTTCTTTGTGGGAGAAACGAGGAGGAGGAGGAGGAGAGAGAGGAGGAGGAGGAGAGGAAGAGGAGGAGGAGAGGAAGAGGTGGAGGAGAGAGAGGAGGAGGAGAGGGAGGAGGAGAGAGAGGAGGAGGAGGGGAAGAGGAGGAGGAGAGAGAGAAGGAGGAGAGGGAGGAGGAGAGAGAGGAGGAGGAGAGAGAGAGGAGGAGGAGAGGAAGAGGAGGAGGAGGAGAGAGAGGAGGAGGAGGAGAGGAAGAGGAGGAGGAGGAGGAGAGAGAGTAGGAGGAGAGGAAGAGGAGGAGAGAGAGGAGGAGGAGAGGGAGGAGGAGAGAGAGGAGGAGGAGGAGGAGAGGAAGAGGAGGAGGAGAGAGAGGAGGAGGAGAGGAAGAGGAGGAGGAGGAGGAAGAGGAGGAGGAGAGAGAGGAGGAAGAGAGGAAGAGGAGGAGGAGAGAGAGGAGGAGAGAGAGGAGGAGGAGGAGGAGAGGAAGAGGAGGAGGAGAGAGAGGAGGAGGAGAGGAGAGGAGAGAGAGTAGGAAGAGGAGGAGGAGGGGTTAGTGAGGGAGGAGGAGAGAGGGAAGGAGGCAAAGGAGGGATGAGGAAGCAAAGGAGAGATCCTCCTCCCTCTCCTCCTCCTCTCTCTCCTCCTCCTCCCCTCTCCTCCTCCTCCTTTCTCTCCTCCTCCTGTTACTCCTCCTCCTCCTCTCTCCTCCTCCTTTCTCTCCTCCTTTCTCGCCTCTTCCTCTCTCTCCTCCTCCCTCTCCTCCTCCTCCTCCTCTCCTCCTCCTGTTACTCCTCCTCTCTCTCCTCCTCCTCCTTTTACTCCTCCTGTTACTCCTCCTCTCTCCTCCTCCTCCTCCTCCTCTCTCTCTCTCCTCCTCCTCCTGTTACTCCTCCTCTCTCTCCTCCTCTCTCCTCCTCTCTCTCCTCCTCTCTCTCCTCCTCCCTCTCATCCTCCTCCCTCTCCTCTTTCTCTCTCTCCTCCTCTCTCCTCCTCCTCCTCCTCCTGTTACTCCTTCTCGTCCTCCTCTCCTCCTCCTCTCCTCCTCCTCCTCCTCCTGTTACTCCTCCTCCTCCTTTCTCTCCTCCTCCTTTCTCTCCTCCTCCTCCTCCTCCTCTCTCCTCCTCCTCCTGTTACTTCCTCTCCTCCTCTCTCCTCCTCCCTCTCCTCCTCGTCTCTCTCCTCCTCCTCCTGTTACTCCTTCTCCTCGTCTCTCTCCTCCTCTCTCTCCTCCTCCTCCTCCTTTCTCCTCCTCTCCTCCTCCTTTCTCTCCTCCTCTCTACTCCTCCTCCTCTCCTCCTCCTCCTCCTCTCTCTCCTCCTCCCTCTCCTCCTCCTCCCTCTCCTCCTCCTCTATCTCCACCTCTCACCTCCTCCTCCTGTTACTCCTTCTCCTCCTCCTCTCTCCTCCTCCTCTCTCCTCCTCCCTCTCCTCCTCCTCCTCTCCTCCTCCTCTCTCTCCTCCTCCTCTCTCCTCCTCCTCCTCCCCTCTCCTCCTCTCTCTCTCTCCTCCTCCTCTTCCTCCTCCTCCTCCTCCTCTCTCCTCCTCCTCCTCTCTCTCCTCCTCCTCCTTCTCTCTCCTCCTCCTCTCTCCTCCTCTCCTCCTCCTCGTCCTGTTACTCCTTTCTCTCCTCCTGTCTCACCTCCTCCTCTCTCACCACCTCCCCTGTAATTGTGCACACTCATCTATTCTGGATCAGGTGGCGGTTCTCCTCGCTGTCGCGGCGCCGGTCACTGTCCCTCGGCGCTCTTTTGCGGTGCGGCGTGATTCCAGGTGTCGGTGTCGTTACCGTGGTTACAAGAAGTCTCCTTCTCTCCGTCCAAATGAGGGAGGAAGGAGGGAGGGAGGAGGAATCAGGGAGAAAGCGAGGATGGAGGGGGTGGAGTCTAATTTGGCGATCCCGTTAACACTTCCTGTCGGGTCCCCAGAGGTTCCCTAATGAGCCCCTCCGACACGGCCCAAGGCCAGAACCAGGACCAGGACCAGCGAAGTGAGACGCCGAAAGATCGGAAACCTCACCGACTCATCGCAATTAGGAGTCAAACCTCTCCTCCTCCTCCTGTTACTCCTCCTGTTACTCCTTCAACTCCTTCTTTCTCCTCCTGTTTCTCCTCCTTTTACTCCTCCTGTCTCCTCCTCTCTCTCTCTCTCTCTCTGTCACTCCCCCGCTCCCCTCCTCTTCATCAGAACTTCTTCAGAACCTTCGACACAAACCGACTCGACTCAAAGCTGCTTCAAACTTTAACCTCCGATTTCAACCTCATCAGGAACGGCGCCGATTTTTACTGTCCGAAAATTCCTACTGGATCTGTTTGGGAGGCGAATTTCCTCTCCTTGTTTCCTTTCCTTGCTCCCTTTCCTCCTCTCCTTGCTCCCTCTCTTTTCCGATGTCTTACTCTCAGCTGTCATCGGGGTGAAATGACGTCTAAAAACCTTTCACTTGTTCGTCTCCGCCCGTTTGCCCGTTAACTTGAATGTTTACGATCAGCGACGATCGGAGGATACGACCTTTTCGGAGACGATCAGGATGAAGGTGGAGGTCGGAGGTTAACGCTGTGAGGAACGCTCCACGTCTTTTACGAGACCGGTCAAGAGTTTAAAATCAACTCTCTCAAAACTCGGCGTTAACATTGACTTAAATGTTTACGATCAGCGACGATCGGCGGATACGACCTTTCACGTTAATCACGTTAATTTCGGGAAAACCCGACAAATCAAATTAAATTTAACTCCAAGAAAAACTCCGATGATGTTTGTGGAAGTTTGAGGAGC